CTACGTTCCTAACCAAAAGATATGTAAGCTGCACAGACTTAACTCCGAATTATTTATGCCTAATATACAAAAGGAAGCTTATTTAAAATGTTCCCCCCATTCCAACTTCTAATACTGTTCCATTTCCATCAATCTGACTTTAGATGTTCCATGCCACGTTCCTAACCCCAATTGAGCTGCTCTCCAACTTCTGTAGCCCAATTCTAGCACTGGAAGAAACTCAATACCAGTAGCCCAAAAAGAAATGTTATACAATTAGACGCTTAATGTTGCCGTCTTATCAGGCATGTGTATACAAAGTAAAGACACACCGATGTACACAATATAGGTAGGAAGGGTAACCGGGCAGCCGGGTAGCCATTTTGTATGGCCCCGGGAGCTGTTCGATTTTTGGAGCACGCGCTGAGCGGTAATCGGATCGGGCGAGAACAGGTGACTCGTCGCTTTGTGGTCTGCTTGTTGACAGACACATTAGACACATGGATAAACATGCAGTCAATATATATATATATATATATACATATATGGATACAACATATAGAATGTGCAGATTTGCTGCCTCAGCAGCTGCATTATGTCTGCCATGGTAAGGCGAGATTCGGCCGAATGATACCTGACCATGTGTAGGGCATCTGTGAGGCACACAAAATTGGCTCGAAGCGGCGCCAATGGCTTGGCCAATTCTAATTGGTAATGCAAATGGCATTTTCTTGACGAAATAGGGCGTTATCCCGCAACGTGCCAGCCATAATATGATATGATGCTATAGACATTTGAATTGTATATGTACATATATATATATCTACTGTTGTGAAGGGGCCCCATAAATCTGTATGGCGACAGCTCAAGGATTGTTGCGTTCGATAACGACAAAATTATTGACTGACAGTTCTCACGCTCATAGGATTAGAGGGGCTAGTAAGGCGCGGAGGAGGGAGCAGCGGGTGTGTTGGGGAAGCGAGAAGCGAGAGGCACACTTGAAATGCTGCTTAACACTTTGTCATCATCAGGCAGCTTAGTGGTCATGGCCATGGCAATGGAACTGGGCACTGGTCACTGGCGAAACTCCCTCTCCCTCTCTCTCTCTCTCTCTCTTTCTGTCTCTCTCTGTCGCTCTGTTGGACAGAGCCTACCTGGCCGAAACGCTTTTGACTTGTGACCATTTTTTATATTTTACATCTCAGCACTTTTTGCGCCGATTCTGCGCGTTCTTCAAAAAAGAGGAAGAACAAACAGAAAAGAACAAAATAAAAAAACACGTTCGTCGGGCAGATGAAACAAAAACAAAGGAGATCGGGCTTGAGGTTGGGCAAAGGCTATATGGCCAACATTTGCCGGCAATGCGAAAATCGCAGACAGCGCGGCGGCAACGAATAAAAGCCACAACCTGGAGGGGGCAACTGGGAGGCGGACGCAGGTAGCGGGGAAGGGGGGGTTGGGGGAATAAGCTAAAAGTCAAAGTCCGAGTTGAAGTTGGAGTCAGACAAGGTGCTGGGCACGCAGACAATTTGTAGCAATCAGGCCGAGCAATGGGACTGACTGACCGCGCATTGTACATACTCTGTATATACCTACATACTTATATAGCATATATTTGTTTTTGTACGCTTTGCTTAATACCTGGAATATTCAAGTGTTTTCTTGGGATTGAGCCTACAACTTACCGGCAGTTCATGTCGCGGCTGCTCCGGCTGCTCCAAGCTGCTCCCGCGGCTGCCCGTGGCCAGTTGCAGCAGCAGCAAGCCGAGTGCAATGGGTAAACAGCATTTCACAAACATTTTAAAGATTGTCAATCGAATTGTTAAATAAAAGCGTATTATTGCATTATATATGTGTAGATTATGATATATGTAAAACGTTCTGGTTTTTTTTTCTATTTTTTTTTTTTTTGCAATTCCAAATTCGTGGGTGGGTGTGGCAGAATAATTTGTAGTCTCTGCTTTATTTGTTTATCGATATTCGCGTCTATTTTTAGTAAATCTTGGCCAGTTCGGTTTATAGAGATGGATATGTATGCTCTATATACGCATTCGTTTCTGAGTATTATGGATTTCTGCTTTATGTGAACTTATGATTTGTTGGGTTTTTGTTTGTTTGTTTGTTTGTTTTTTTTTTCGCAAAAATTATACACACTCTTGATGAAAAGCCAACACGCGAGCGACTAAAAATGTGAAAAACTGAAAAACCAAACCGTGCGTCGCCAAGTTTCAAATACGACTGAGACGTTCAACAGTTCAATAGGAGTAGTCGGGAATATATCTGTATATATATATATATATATATATAGAGAGTGTGGCCTAAACTGGCAACGGCGAGAGAGTGTGTGCGAAAGAGATGGCTGCGAGCGCGCGCATGCCGAAAGGGACAGCCAAACAGCAGCGCGAGCAGCGCGAGAGCGAGAAGGAGCACAAGGTGGTCGATCGTGGTGCACACACACACACGCACGCACACACACACACATACACACACACACGGAGAGCTGGTCAGTGCATTGGGCATCGACCATGTCGCTGTCGATGTCGATGTCGCCACAATGTCTGGCAGTGTCTACTGCCATATCTTATCTTTATTCTTTGCCTGCATATTACCTCGATGCGGCTGGCCTGGACAGCAGCGCGGTTAGCATAAAGGCCCGACACACACACACACACACACACAAGCCCGTTGCGTGTGTGTGTATGCGAGTTTTGAGTGTGAAATTTATGTTCCTTTGTATATCTGAAGAGGTTGCCTCACCAACACCAACAGCTAAAACAAAACAAGCCACTGCCAGTTGGTGGGATCAGCGACGGACGATCTCTGGGCCCCGACCAGCTGTGGCTCTGCAGGCAGAAGGCAAAAAGTATACTTAAAAAAAAAAAAACGAGCAGGAGAAAAGGAAAAACGTGAGCTATGTACTTGTGTCCGACTGGAACTGTGAACAGGGAACTGGGCCTGAGACACAGCTCCTGCCTCTCGCCAGGCAGTCGCACGTCTGTGATTTATAGAGCTGCTGTCTTGAGTGCCCGGGGCCCATGTGAAACACCGGCATCGCTGTGAAACCTGCCAGACAGTGTGACGACGGCAAACCGACGACGATAGCGTTCCCCCAAGCCCTTGTCCCTGATCGTGCATGTGTGTGTGTGTGTGCGTGGCTCTGCCCCCGACTGGCACCCGCCTGGCCCCTGTTTGCCCTTTGCCCATTGTTTTCGGTCGCCTGCTCGCAGCGTACTTTTGTGGTCTTCTTTTATGGCCGAACATGGCATGGTTATCAGGGGAAGCACGAACGTTGGCTCAGACAGCGACTGCGACTGGCAGACAGTATGACGCCAAATTCAATACAACATCGTCGATAACAAAGGTAAACAGCCCATTCAAAAGGGGTTCCAGGCAGGGGCTCAAACAACAGGCAACCACTCGACTGGTGTCAATAATAATAATAGCCGCAGTCCACTCGGCCAACGATGAAGACGCATTTGGTAGCCCCGATGTAGCTGATGCGCAGAACAAAAAAAAAACCCAAACCGAAACAACTACAGATACAGATACAATACGAATAGTTACAGATACAAAGATACAAATACACAAACATTACGCCCGCTTGTGTACTTAACTAATCATTTTGTGTTGCTTCTCTGTTTGTTTTTTGTGAAGATACAATTCGGCTGAATTTATTTGTTGTATCTACGCATTTGTATCTGTATCTGTAGCTGTAGCTGTAGCTGTAGCTGTATCTGTATCTGCATCGCTTCAATAGAATCGAATCTGCGCACTTGCAAAACAATTAAAACATTTACGAGGAAATCGAGGCATTTGTTTGGCTATGGCCAAAATTTTGAAGCGAACAACTTGAACGCTAATCAAAACAATCTATGGCCAAATTAATTAGGCCAATTCTTGAAAAGAATAATAATTCTTAAAAGATTTTATGCTTATGCATAAGGCGTTAAAGTGAAAAGTACAGTTGAAACATTTGCTTATGTTGATAAAAAAAAAGGTTTGCTCAGATTATATTCTATATAGTCTATATACTATTTAGCTATATGTTATTTTTTATAAGACGGAGCTAACCTATTTGCCTGAATATCAGATGTCCCGTTTATATTCTATGTGGTCTATATATAAATTTGGTTATCAGCGCTCTATGAATAATACCTAGAACAGCGAAATACTTCCCCCCAGGGGAACTCCCTTAGCTTGTTGCTGCTGAGACTCTGATGTTAAGCCTTGATAGAGCCAAGCCTGTGGCGTATAAAAGCCAGCTGTAGCTTCCGAGCACATCATTCAGTGACAGTGACAGAGCAGTTCAAGCAAGATGAAATTTACCATACTCCTAGGCGTTCTGGCTCTACTGGTGTGCTTGGCCCAGGCACAACCTGTCGAACAGGATTCACTCGCTGAGCGGGAGCCCGGGGCAGTTGAGCCCATGCCACAGGACTTGCACAGCCGTCAGAAGCGTGCCACATGCGATCTGCTGAGCGGCTTCAATGTGAATCACTCGGCCTGTGCAGCTCACTGTATTGGCCTGGGCAGGAGTGGAGGCTATTGTAATGATAAGGCTGTTTGCGTTTGTCGACGTTGAAAGAATGATTCAATAAAATTGCAATTTAATTTAATCAAATACGAGTTTTGATAGGACTAACACCTAGTTCTAAATGTGTGGGTCTCCTTTGTCTTAACCCATGTTAAGATACGCATTTCTGCTCCTGTCAGGTTGTTTAGCCCCGATCACAGCTTGAAAACTTCAAGAGACGTGCCTGGAAATAATTAGGGCTACGCTTTCGGATCTACGGCACATGATTCACACAGCGAAGACAGTTAAAATAAACTTATAATGCCTCTGTGCATATTTGAGCAACCATAAAAGTATAAATATATATTCAACTGGAGACTCAAGTGAGTCCACCCATAGGAATACATTTAAAAAAAAAAATCACCTATTGAAAGTCCCCTAACTTATCTGAATGAGATAGTTTACGATTCGGGTATAAAAACTCTTGTTACATTGTCGATCAACACATTACAAAGTGCCTAGCCCAGCAGCTGCATAGAAGTCCTAACCAACTAAAGGAAACCCTCATCCAAAGTCAACAACAATGAAGTTAACAATGATCCTAAGTGTGCTAGCTATGCTGACAGCCTTGGCCCTGGCACAGCCTGTGACCCCTGAGCCAACAGAGCTCAAGGATCCAGAGTCGAACGACGGACAGGAAGTGGATCAAGCAGAGATCGACTCCGCAGGGCCATCAGACGTAGAGGCAGCTGTTGCCCAGCTTTTACGCCAGGAGGCAGCACAGGATGTGGCGGCGACCGAGTCACACAGTCGCCAGAAACGCGCCGTCTGTCGTTGCTACAGACGAGCTCGCAATGCTATCGTATGCTATTGCCGCTAGAGGGCGTCTTTATAGTAAACCAATTACTCACAATGCTTAATGAAAATAAATAAATATTTGTAGCCATGAATCATACAAGTTGTTCGTATAAACTTCGTCTTACTATATCAATTACAGAGTCAGAGTCAACGTATGCACAACAAGTTGTTTTTAATACCACTAAAATTGCACCATTTCCCACCTGTCGCGATTTTTAAATGTAAATCAAGCAATTGTTCTCTGTGTTGCCATATGGCAGCGACTGGGCAATAATTAACGTTACTCGCCCATAGGGGGCGCCAGCACGCGTGTTGTTTTAATTAATTATAGTTTCACGAATTTATAGTTTAAAGTTCAAAACAGCTGCAGACAGCGAAACTTTGACGTAGAAACGTGAAATGTCTGCGATTTGTTTACATTTATACTTTGCACGCCAATTTAATGTTTATATGAATTTATAAGAAATTAATGAGCAGGCTTATCGCATTTGCCAACAAACTGTTGTGGGTCAGAGCAGCACGTCAGATGTCAACCGGCGTCTGTAGAGATCAGGAAGGGTGAGCGAAATGATAGCAAAAGTTGATTTCATTCTTAAAAGTTGTGAAATTTCACAAAATGCATATTTACTAATCACACATTAAATATAGCTAAGCAAATACAAAACAAATACAAGCGCGCTCACTTTGTGTAGATCTACCAATGAACTGCGCGCACAATTCTTATTCTTATCAATTAAATGAATAAACACAACAACAGGAGGGAAGAGTGTGTAGTCTGCGATGCTCGTTGCACAGTCTGCAATACAAACAGCAGAGCATGAAGCAGACACACGCTTAATTAACGCCAATTATTCGTGATCTCGAAACGAAATAGTTAATAAAAATTATTGGAATTAATACGGAATTACGAGTGGGCCTTAATTTACAAATGCGTTAAATGTTCTGTTACAGCAACAAACGAAACCGGCCGAAGCAACAATTACTGATTTTCTTTACTTTATATTTCTATTGCAATTGTAGCCGCACAAATAGTGTTTGCCTCGATAGCGTCTCGAAGAACCGCTCGCGACAGTTTCTTCATTTGCACTGACACTTTGGTTATCAGTATTGCGCATTTCAAACATATGCCAGTTATCTTTAATCTCAAGACACAAACGTGAGAGAAGCTCGAGAGGCGGATTACTTAAGAGAATGAAACTGTGCCAGCAATTAAATTGACAAACAAATGTTGGCGGCAACATTAAAATATCGATTATATCGGCTTAAAATGATTAAATAAGTTATCGAATATGTTAAGAGCATCTAAACGCTTGCTCTGTTATACTACAGTGTGTGAGAGAGAGAGAGAGAGAGAGAGGAAGCTGCTTGGCAGCTGGTAAAATAAAATTGAAGCCTTACATGAATATTTTAATTCATACTCAGCATTAACTGATTGCACATCTTGCTATAAACTTATAATTCTTAATACCATAAGTTTATACAATTTTTTGGTGCAATTTGAAAAAAACTGTTTCCGACTTTACAGCCCGGCTAAACAATGCTCGCTGTTAATAACAGCTGAGCAAAATGTTAAGTTCTGTTGTTTAACATAAAACGCAACTGGTAAACTTCTGTTTTGTTGTTAATTGGAGAAGAGAGGCAATAAACACCTATATTCTTATCTCCTAAGTTCATGTGGCCAGCAAAACATTTGAGTACTAACTAAAAGCAGTTTGTTAGATTGACGTCGCCTTAACTGTCGCTACAATTAGTCCCAGTGTTTCAATTATCATACGGGCTAAGCACATTTCAAATTGCTTGCGTTGTTGTGCTGACGTGGTGTAAATAGTTGGTCCCGGTGAATTTGATTAAAATAAATTAAATAATTGTTAAATAGTTTTAAATTATGTCCGCAATGAACGTGTTCCTATGCTGTCTCATGCTGCTGGCCATCGCTCAAGTGCGAGGCTACAGTTTCACATCGAAAGAAGTCAAATGTCATGGTAATAAAAGAAAAAAGCGGACAACCTGTTGGCATCTAAAACGAAACATACCTTTATTTCAGTGTGCAAGGCCACGGTGCAGGAGCTGGAGGACGCCATTGCCAAGGAGGATGCCAACAAGAAGGTGGATGTTAGCGGCTTCCGGCTGGATGCCCAAGGCAATTCCATAAGCAAGCGCGTGCGCTATATCAAATCCGAGATGTTTTTGACCGAGCTCATGGAAAAGATCTGTGAGTGACCGACAAAGCCATAGGCATCCAATGTTGTACCAAATTAACCCCTTTGAATTTACAGGTGAAAAAATGGATGACTATCTAAAGGCCACATACAAGAGCAACGGCAAGTTTACCTTGCTCAAGATGATAATCGATGGCAAAATGAATCCCGAGTCGTCGCTCGTTGACTTTGTACAGGATGGCGATCTTAACAAGAGCCTGGGTCACTTCTGTCTGGAGGTGCTCGAGGACAACGAGGAGGCATTCCTGAAAGCATTCCAAGCCGAAGAGCTGGGCAACGATTTGGATATCAAAATCTGCTCGGAGCAGGCCAACTATTGCGATGAGGCACCCGTCCAGGAGGACTATGATTTTGGCGGCAGGGAAGAATTGTAATTCCTAGTCAAATGAGATGTAAGCAAACGAATTTTCCATGATCATCATTGTTATTAAAGCGCCTGCAGCAGGCGGCTCCTTGTGTACTGAACGAAAATTTTAATTTTAAACGCACCAACGACAAACAGTTTAAAACGACAATAAATACGAGATGTGCAATTCCCTCCACATGAAAACTAATGCTTTTTATTATGATACGATGCGGGTCGAATGAGTTAACTCCTTTATTAAACTATAAATGCCAGCGGAATTTAAGTGGTAGAGTGGCAGAGACGTCATGTGTATGTTTTACTCCTCTTGAGCGCTGTAGAGATTCATTAGGTTTTTATTGTTTATCCAACAGGATATGCAAGTTAACGCTTACGGTTCATCATCTGTGACATTGCGTAGCATTTGATGACGCACAACCAGCCATGGAGCACCGAACCCAAGAGTTCCAAGCACAAGCCAGAAGACAGTAAAGCGCATGGGGCTATCCAATCCCTTGCGAAAGGGCAAGTTCTGTGGCGGCGTTTTATGGATAGATGTAGAGGCTTAATGATTCAAACACTTCAAGCACTTACCAAGCCCGGAATACCACCGGGATGACCGGACATTTGACGAATGAGCGGCACACACATTTTGCGCACCTCGGCGCGTAAAGCAAACATATTTCAATAAACTTAAACCGTTTTCCACGTTCTTGAATGATTTTTAAAAATATTATAATTTGCGTACCGATCGACACGGAACCTAAATAGTGTCTGAGCATTTTTGTATGCTTACAATGTCGACAGGTTTCTAGAGTTTTCAATGCCTACTTAACCTTAAGGGAAACTGCGCACTTTCGGTCTTTAGTTTTTGGGCAACTTTATTACGTTTAAACTTTTGACTTAATTTAAAGCTGTAGCACAATGTACGATACTGCGGCTACAACAAACAACAACGTAATCTGCAATTGATCATCAATACTGAAATTTCCGATCAATAATTGGCTGATAAAACTAACCTTACATTTTTTGCATGTTGTTGTTGTTGTTGCTGCCGTGGCTTTTGTGGGGCTGCTGTGGCCACTTACTTCTTCAACAGCTGGTGCCTGACGATCAGGAAGGGGGAGCCGAAGCCCAGAACACAGCCGATGGTGAACAGCGCGGTGATCCTATATTTGTTATGCAGTCCGAAGGGCAGGTTCTATAATTTAATAATTTGTTAGGCAGTGATATCATCGATTTTCCTACAGGATTACGTTTCAGGTGCAAGCACACACAAATTATGTAATCACACACCGCGACTTAATCGATCGCTGCTTACCTCACCGGGAACACCACCATGGCCGCTGTAGCGCACCATCGACTGGGAGAAATTGCGTGCAATTACACTGCTGCGGCCCAACATATTTATTGATTTTTTAAACTTTTATTTTTAGTTAAATTGCAAGCGCAGATTTTGTTGGTTGCCTGAGGAAAAAGTGTGTACACAACTAAAAATCTAGCAGCGATAATTGAGCAGATGTAGCTATCGATATATCGAAAGCCACAAATTGCCGCGCTGCATGCGATACACTATCGATAAGAAAATGACAGCACAGCTGAGCCGCTAAATTCATATCGTAAGCGCCAAAATTTGAATTTGGTTTGGAATATCAATGTTTTATTTGCTGCATTTTGAAAACTTATTGCTAAACATTTACAAATAGATTTTGACAGCTAATCAGCACCAACTAAAATAAAAAAGACTTAAAGACATAACAAAACGTAACAAATACGGCATAACGAACGGCTGGGGAGCAGTTTTGGTCTCGAGCACTTAACTAAACTTAACAGGGAACGGTGTTTAGCTGGCAAAGAAACATCTGTAGAGCATATATAGAATGCCAAAGAGCCACATGCCCTTGTACAGCTTGTCCACGAACCACATACTGCAATTTGAAAATATTATATCACTATGCATAATTAAAAAATTCAATTGTTTACATTTTCATGTGTCGCCTGGCCGCCGGTATAGACTCATCCGATTCCTTGAGGATCAGACGTCGCGCGCACAACACACAGTTGGTGAAATAATCTATCAGATCCAGATCAATTTTCTCAATAACATATGTTTTTCGTTCCTTGTTATTCATTAGCTTGCGCAATTTAACCGCTTCGGAATTATCAAAACTCCACACATTATTGGCATAGTACTCAAACACTTCGAAGCCCTTGTAGATGCGATTCTGGACACGACAGAGTCTGTGGATTCATTTCAAAATAAATATAAAACAGCTTCACAAAATGCTTTTGTGCACTTACACAGGCGGATAGCGTAAGAGCAATAGCAATGCGTCCACAAACAAGGCCGGCATCCATTGAAAGAGTACCATGCAGACGTAGTGCACCCAATAGTTGGATTTCATGGAGCCACCCGGATACCAGGCCACACCATTTAAGGGCACCTTATTCTCAATAACCCAACGACCCAGCTCGATAATCTCTGCCCAGGAAACCTTAATATCATTGGATGAGGTCATGTGCGCGACACGATTTGTGTGATCCGTGCCAGCTGTAATATTACGCCAACTGGCGACCAAAATGCCATTGACGGCCACGTCCACGGGCAAAAAGTCACCGTAACCGGACGAATTGCAGTACATGGTGCGTATGACACCCTTGCCGGCGCCAATCAGCAGACCCGTGGGTCCATTAATATTGTCCGTCCAGCCGGGTATGGGCTCCTTCCAAATGGGTATGACAATAGATGGACGCAAAATGACGGCCGGCAGCTCGTTAAATTTCTCCACGACCAGCGCTTCAGCCAGAGACTTGGTATAGGCATAGGTGTTCGGTATATCGCCCAGAATTTTGCGCTCAATCAGGGACACTTCCTCATCGGGCAGCCATTCGCAGGCCTGTATCACCTGGTGAGGATTTGCGGGCGGATCGTACGGCTTCTCGTACAGCGTCTTCACATGCAAATGACAATAGGCCGTCGAGCAGTAGGCAAAAAAGTCCAAATGCTTGAGCGTGCCGGCCAGCTCCAGCATATACTTGGTGCCGCGTGTATTCATGAACACGGCATTGCGCAGCGGCTCATCAAAGCTAGAGGGGAAGGGAGGGAAGCATAGAATCGACATCGTAATTGACTGAGATTCGCTGCCACTCACCGAACTGTGGCGGCACAGTGATACACAATGGACACCTCATTGCGCAACGTCTCCAAATCCTGCTCGGAGATGCCCAGGCCAGGCAGCATCACATCTCCGGCAATGGCCACCACCTGATCGAATATGCGCTGCTCGCCGCGCAGCTGTTTCACCTGGTCGAACAACTGGGGGGAGGGGGGGGGGGGCGGTTTATTGTGTTGGTTAGTTACCCGGGCAATTATTAATAATTACCACATTCTGAAATATATCCTTAATGCGCTCCTGCGGATCCTTGCCTTTCTTGGTGCGTATCAGCAGATAAATGCGCTTCAGTTCGCCACACGAGCTGCAAAAATTAATAACGCATAATCTCAGTTAACATAATTGAGAATTATTGAGGTCACGTGTGCCGGCAGCAGCAGCTGTTGGCCAACGCGGCCAACGCAGTCAACCAGCTCAGTTCAGCTCAGCTCACCCGGCCCGCCCACTTTAAGCTGAATGAATATATATTAAGAATATGATGTAGTATATGTGGCAATGCATTGGCAAGTTGATATACTAAGCTTCAGTAGAGTCCAAGCCAAGTCAAAGCTTCAAGTTCTACTTATTCGGACTATGTAAATTGTATACCCTTACAGAGGGTATTCGTATTACTGGCATGCAATGTGTTACGCATAAATATAACTATTTAATTTATTTAATTGTGGCATCGCAGTAACAAAGTACTTGGCATAATGTCTTAATAACGCGAACTTAGCTAGACCTTCGACCCGAGCTAATTATGTGATTAAATTTTGAACTTAAAGCTTTTAGACAAATTAATGGAGCTATTTTTAAGTCTCTTCTGATGAAACTTGCCATCGATTTTTCTTTTTCTGTTCTTTTGAGTTTTATTTTTTTTATATATCCCAAGCTATGCTCAATGATAATAGAAACCCTTAACTGTAAACGATTTTTGTTGTTTCGACATCTGCTCTAAAGGGTATTTAAACGTCGGCAACTCGAAGTAATGCGTTCTTATTTTGCTATTACCAGTTGTACTTTTATGAGATCATAAGCGCTTGTTAGACTTTGCTTTAAACAAGGTGCAAACAAGCAAGCCACAAGATGAACTCAAAGTTTAGGTCAAACTAAATTCTGTTTAGTATAGTATAACAAGTACGCCCCTTGGATATATTCAACCCATTATTAGTACTCACCGTAATAGCTTCTCCACCAGAACCTTGCCAAGGAAGCCCGTGCCGCCCGTGATGAACAGGCTGCGATCCTTGAAGCTTTCGGCGACGCGATCTATTTCGTTCTCATCCACATGGCCAATGGTCAGGTGGCCCTCCTTCTCGAAATCAAATTTCGGCTTGGATGTCATTGTAAGTTAGATGCGTTGGCTGCAACAGTTGAGAGAATTATAAATAAGTGCCCTCGTCGTTGGCTTAAATGTTGCTAATCAAGTGCACTATAATTTTATTTGATCTTGGCTGTGTGCTCAACTGGTTTTACGGCTCGAACAGTTGGATATGACAGCTAGTTGAGAAGTGGCTGGCCAATTCGTCGATTCGCCTCATGACCACCAGCGAGCCGCCAAGCCACCGAATCGGCCAAACATGGCCCAGCCGCATATTTGACACCCAGCCGCATATTGCGTATACGCCGCGTGGCACATGTGGGCCAATTAAGCTGGCGATTGCAACAGCCAAGCAAACTTGGCTGGCTGCTTTTGGCTAGCATATGTGCCATGATAGTGAGCTTGTGAGTGCAGTCTAGCGATTCCGGCCAAATTGGCCAGCCACGTGTCCTTCAAAATAGTTAATGGAACCTGTTGATAAAAGCCGTATGCCAGAGTCCATAATGCAAAATGCAATTAATTGAAACGAGTGAACTTTGCATAAGCCACAGATTGAAGTCTCATAATAAATACAAATACAACAAATTAAAAAAAAAAAATGTTATTTCCATTTTACGATCGCTTTAGGTTTTGATGAGATTTTGAAAGCGTTTTGTCTTCTGTTTAAATTGTGAAAAAAATAAAACGTGTTAATCGCTTTAGCATTGGCCGACAAGAATGGCAAGGCGCAGGCCAAGTTCACATTAATTAATTAGCCATGTTTCGCTTTGCAGTTCCGTTTGTCATTAGAATTCAACGCCAGCCAATATATCACTGCGTGTCGGGCGCACAGAAACCAAAGACTCAGGCAACGAACGCGATTTTGAAAGTGAAACTCGTGGCATTTAGACAGCCTACTCCAGTTACCTGCTGTTGGCCCAGATGTTACGAATCTTTGACCTGATTTTCGCCATGCTTTGACCTGTCCGCCGATAAAACAAAACGAACACGATCTTAAGCTCAATTTTAAAGCTGTTGCAATTAAATGCAGCACTTTAAGTGGAAAATTCCCAATGGAAAAATAAACGTGGTAACAATATTGTTACATTACATTTTGCCATTTAATAGCAACAACAACAACAACAACGACAATATCTTTGCGATGCGATTTATGCAAACGTTTTGCCCGTCATTCAGTTACTGCCGGGTCAGTCGATGCCGTGAGGTTCACAGTGTTCAGAAACGTTTCGTTGACGTCTTTCGAGAAATGCGGGGACTTACATACAGCACACACTTATCTCTACCTTTATTTAAGAGCGTGTGTTAACTGTCATTCCAAAGCGATTTCCACAGCAATTTCTGCTGCTGCTGTTGTTGTCGTTTTTCAGATGCTCGGTTTTCAGATGTGCATGCGCACGTTTTCCAGATAAAAAATGGGCAGCAGCAGCTGGTGTTTTTTGTTTTTTGTTTTTTTTTTTTTTTTGTATACTCTTCACACAGCAAATTGACAAATTTGCAAAGCTTTAAATTGAATTAAACGTGCAACAGTGGAATATTTCAATAATCTGCTCGAAAACAATGAAAATGCAGTGGAAAACTTTGGCAGCTGTTGCTTTATCTAAATAGTATTAAAGAGACTGCTAGCTGAGCTACATTCTACTAAACAGAAACGGCCTATTAGAGTTTGCAGACTCTCTTTTGTAGAGTATAACAAAAGGAACTCTCGACCGCAAGCCCACCTGGAGTGGGACAGCGACAGCTTAAATATAGTTTTTGGCAATTGCCGAAAAAAACGAAAAATACAAATAAAACTAAGGCTGACTGGTTCAATTGCATTTTTGCGGGTGTCTTGAGCAACCAGTTTGAGCCAAGCCAAAGATGTCAACAAAAGCAGCAGCAATTAATTAAAAAAAAAAAAAGGTCGACAAAAGTCAAAAGTTATAAACATTTGATATTTATCGAACACACAAACTGTGTCAAGGATAAAATCCACAAAAATTTTCATAACACTTAAGGATAGGCTTATATGCTAAAAATATTTAAATTC